ATCTTCTTGGTTCCTGAATATTTATATCTTTTCCCAGATTTGAAAAGTTTTCTACTATTATTTCTTTAAATCAGTTTTTTATTCCTTTATCTCTCCATTTAAATTTTCTATCATTCAAATATTCGCTCTTTAGATGCTGCTTCATAAATCCCATAAACTCTCTTCATTCCTTTTTTTTTCTTTTTTCTCTCTGACTATATCTTTTCAAATAACCTGTCCTCAAGTTCACAAATTATTTCTTCTGCTTGATCAGTTCTGCAGTTCCACTGTTGAAGCTCTTTAATGTATTTTTTATTTCACCCATTGTATATTTTTAGCTCCAGAATATTTTTTGTTTGCTTTTAAATAATTTCAATTTCTGTTAACTTTCTAACTTTATCATATATTGCTTTCCTGGTTTTGTTTGTTTCCCTGCATTTTATTGAAATTTGCTGAACTCCCTTCTTACAATTATTTGATTTCTTTTTTAGGCAGTTCATAAATCTTCATTTTGTTAGGGTTTATTTTGTTCCTTTGGTCGTGTCATGTTTCTTTGATTATTCTTGATCCTTGTGGTCATACATTTTGTCTGTTCATTTGAAGAAGAAAGGACTTATTCAGGTCTTCAGACTGGCTTTGTTTGGGAAAGTTCTGCTTGGCCAGAGATTCTGAGTAGACCATCTGGTATGGTCTGTGAGACAGCTTGCTGCTGGAGTCCTCAAGCAGCCTGGCTTGGTGCCTAAGTCAGTAGGTTATGAGCCTGTTATCTGTATCTAAGGGACTGATCCTGGAGCCTAAAACCATTGTGGTGGACTTGTTGATTGGGTCTGCAGGGTTGACTCCAGAGTCTAGGTCTGAGAGGGTGGGTCATTTTTCTCTTATTCAATTGGATGTAAAACTCTACTTTCATGGGATTTCATCCCAGAAATTAATTGTATTTCATGGAACTCCTGAATTATTCCTTGAGAGACCAGAATGATGTGATTATTCCCTACTACATTGTTTTAAAAAGAGGTTTTTTTAATGGAATCTAATTGTGACTTGACATTTATCTAAAGCAGCACGATTTACCCCAGAGACTCAGCTGAAAAACCATTATTAGAATAGTGGGTTCAGTTACGTTACAAAATGAATGTATAAAACTCAATCATTTTCTTTTTCTTTTCTTTTTTTTTTGAGTTGGAGTCTCACTCTGTCGCCCAGACTGGAG